CCTCCCCCCCTCTCTCTCCCTTTCTTCTCCTCCTCCTCCTCCCCTCTCTCTGCCCTCCCTTCCTCCTCCTCCTCCTTTCTCTCTCTCTTTCTATCTTCCTCCTCCCTTCCCCCCCTCTCTCTCTTTCTTCTCCTCTTCCTCCTCCATTCTCTCTACCCTTCCTCTTTCTCCTCTCCTCTCTATCTCTCCTTCTCCTCTCTTTCTCTATTTATATTCACCTTTCCTTTCCTTTCTTCCATCTACACATTATCATCTTTTCTTTCCCTGTAATCATTCTGTCTCCACCTTTTACACTTTCTTTTTTCTCTTCTCGTTTATCACTCTTACTTTATTATTTCTCTCTCTGTTTCTGTCACCGTTCCTTCTCTCTTCATTTTTCTTTCCTTCCTCGCAACCTCTTCTTCTTCTATTTTTGTTAATCTTCGTTGCCTCTTCCTCTTTCCATCTCACTCTCTTCCCTGTTATTGCTGCTTCCTCTCTTCCCTTTCTCACTATGAACTAAATTCACCACATCTACTTCCTCTCTTTATTTATCCCGTTTTCCCTCTTCCTTCCTTCGTCACCACCTCTTCCTTCTCTCACTTTTATCTGATATTGTCTGTTCTTCGTCCTCCCCCTTCTCAATTTCTCTATTTCTTATTATTACAGTCTTCCCTCTTCCTACCTTCACAACCATCTTTTTTTTCTCTCTCTCTTCGCTGTCATTGTCCTTTCCTCTTCCTACTTCTTCTCCGCTGTGCCTTATTATCTCCTTCTCTCTTCCTCCCTTTACAGTCACTCTTACCTTCTCTCTCTCCTCCTCTGCATCTCCTCACGTACTCATTTCTTCTTTTCTCTATTATCTTTTATTAACCCCTTCCCTCTTCCTCCCTTCACAACCAAAACCTTATTTGCTCTTTCTCTTCTCTGTTACTGTCCTTTCCTCTTCCTCCTCCTTCTCTAATTCTTTTTATCATTTCTTCCCTCTATTTCTCTTCCCGGTCATTTCCCTTCCCCCCTCCCCCCTCCTCCCCGTCCGGAGCACCTGCCTTTCCTCACGCACTTGCTTATTTTGTCTCTTCACTACTCTTTTCCTTATCTTTACCCCTCCCCCTCTTCCTTCTTCCTATCTTCTCTGTTACTGCTCCTCCTCCTCCTTTCCATTCCTCATCCCCTTCTATTCCTTCTTCCATTTTGTCTTCCCTTCTTCCCCCTCTTCTTTTTCTCCCCCAGTTTCCCCCCTCCTCCTCCTTTCCCCTCTCATTTTTTCTCCCCCAGTTTCCCCCCTCCTCCTCCTTCTCCCTCTCTCTTTTCTCCCTCCTCCTCCTTTCCCCTCTCATTTTTTCTCCTCCAGTTTCTCCCCCTCCCCCTCCACCGTTCCTGCCTCTCCTCACATCCTAACTTAGTTCTTGTCTCGCTACTCCGTTGTCTTGAAGTAGATATTCCTGTCATTTTTATTTTTCGTGACTGCTGACTCAGTCGTATTTCGTATTTTTTAACTCTTCATTTTTTATCATTCTAGACGTAGTGGTAATGGTGATGATAGTGGGAATGGTAATGATTATGGAAATGATATGTCTGTACTGATGATTGTAATGGCAGAAAAGGCAATATTTTAATGTATCGTGAGTTGTTTTTTTTTTGTATGTTAATTACCTTTGTACACATAGACACAACTATTTCATTATCGATCTATCGGTTTGTCTATCTATTTAGCTGTGTTTCTATCTATCGGTCTTTCTATATAATTATCTGTCTGTAATTCTTTCTATCTATCTATCTATCTATCTATCTATCTATCCATATGTGTTTATGGCTGTGGCTGCAAATACGGACGTACACACACACACACACACACACACACACACACACACACACACACACACACACACACACACACACACACACACACACACACACACACACACACACACACACACACGTATGAGCAAAATCCGACTGAATTTAGCTCGCTATTCCCAACGACTCGAAGAATGCTACTCCCCCTCCCCCTCCCCCTCCCCCCTCCCCCCTTCATAAAGCGACGTCGGAAAAGCCACGCCCACTTCTGAAATTTGTGGGAGATTTTATGTTGGAGGAGATTTCATGGGTGGGGGGTGGGGGTGGGGGATTTCATGGGGTGGGGGTTGGGGGGGGTATTTCATGGGGTGGGGGTGGGGGAGATTTCATAGGGTGGCGGTGGGGGGGATTTCATGGGGGGAGGTTTCATGGGATGGGGGTGGAGGGGGTTTCATGGGGTGGGATTTCATGGGGGGAGGTTTCATGGGATGGGGGTGGAGGGGGTTTCATGGGGTGGGGAGATTTCATGGGGTGGGGGGTGGGGGGATTTCATGGGGTGGGGGTGGGGGAGATTTCATAGGGTGGCGGTGGGGGGGGATTTCATGGGGGGAGGTTTCATGGGATGGGGGTGGAGGGGGTTTCATGGGGTGGGGAGATTTCATGGGGTGGGGGGTGGGGGATTTCATGGGGTGGGGGTGGGGGTATTTCATAGGGTAGCGGT